TGCTTGAGTGCAATGGTTCCCTCCCACAGTCACACACACAACTCAATAAAAATATACACTCCAGACCATCTAAAGCGATTGTGATCCTAAACGCCGCTCTATCAAATCCCTCCAGGTAGATCAGCAGCAATTTGGGCAGAATTGCCTCTGAGCGGCTGTTTGATATGAGAGAGGAAAAAAAAATGAGGGGAGGCAGAAAAATGAAGCTGGCAGTACCAAGTCCTGTGAATGCGTTGTTCTGCCTGCATACTTGGCATCAGATCAAGCGAGGCAGAAAGCTAAGGAAAGTGTGTGTGTGTGTGTGTGCATTTGCAGCCCTCATTAGAAAACTCCAGCCCCACGTTCACAGTATGAACACACCACCCCCCCCCCCCCCCCCCCTTCACTCTCAGCCTCTCTACTAAATGAGGTTAATAAACTCAAGCGTTTACCACCATCACCAACACCATCCCTCCTGCCCCGCTTTCTCCTTCATCTCCCCCCCCCCCCCCCCCCCCCCACTCTCTCTACCTCCACCGCGCTCAGCACTCCTCCGCATCCCTTCTCCTTTCCTAAGCCTCCCTCCTCCTTTCATCTCAGCTGAAATGCCTTTTTCCCTCTTTTCCTCACCTCCTTTTTTATTGTCATTGTTGCGGGGCGAAAGCTCTGGGATTTCCTCCCTCTGCTTCCCAGGACAGAGCTGCAATTACAGCTCAGGAGAGAAGAAGACCAGCTGTAGGTGGTGGAGGAGGGAGAGGGGTGGGGTGGGTGGGGGGGGATCACAAAGATGAGGGCGCCGCTCAGAGGAAAGCACATGAAACTGCTGGTATTTCTTTTTGGGGTTTTTTTTTAGACCCCATTCAGATTTCCCTTTGTTTATGCGCCCGGGCAGGGTCATCGTGACAAAACAGGAATAACTACCTTCCATAAACGGACGGCGTTCTTTGTTGTGAGCGAGCTCCGGAGCGTTGCAACACAACGGGACGCACACGCCCACGTCGGGCGTAGAGGGGGGCCGTGGCTGGAACACGCTGTTACACCGGGGCCAATGTGAAGAATGCCTTAAACAGCCTTGGGTGCTCTTATCTCGGGCCGCATGTGGACGGGGACATACACACAGTGTGATTAAAGAGAACACGTAAATATAAAACACCGGCTCCAACAGCTGACTGTGTGAAGGTACGCTGTTGCTGTTGCAGAATCGCCATTTGGCAGCATGTTTGAATGACGTTTTCAAGGTACCCCCCCCTTCATCTCCATGCTTATGGCCTCCGTAGAATCAATTAAGTATACTGTTTCAGGCAATATAGTATTACCTATTACCCATGTAGGGCAAGCGCAATAGCCTCTGAGACGATCCATCATGTGACTGGACTACAGCTCAAACAAAAGAATTATTTCCACCTCATGTCTGGTCACCGTGTCCTTGTGATCGGCCGGCCGACGGGCCTGCTATCCGTCAAGGTCGCGGGCTGTTGAAGTGGAAAGATTTCCTCCACTAAGGCGGTGAGACCTCCTCCAGTTTTCACTGTATTGTCTCGTACACAGCAGCGACGGGGAGATTAAACGGGTTTGGATCCCTTCATCTCGTCACTCATCCTGCTATATATATATATATATTTGTTTTATCGTCAACACATCCTGATAAACAACTCTATGCCTTCTTTGATTTAGCTAAACATTACTCAAACGGAGGGGGGGGGGGGGGGGGGGGGGAAAAATTTGGGGAACCTTTTACTTTAATGGAAATTTGGGTTTTCCCTGAACAGGGCGGTGTTTGAGGGAAGCCTCCCCCCGTAAAAAAAAAAAAAAGTGCTTTTCACCTCCGTCGTAAACCCACTGAAAGAAAAATGTCCCCCCGCCTCGCTGAACTGGGGGTGGACGCACCCCTGGAACTCCAAAATACAACCACTTGGGCTGGCACGGGGCAACGGCTCAGCAGGGTAAAGCCCTTCTTGGTGTTGGCTCGTTTCCCTGGCCATGGGAAATATGAAGAAAAGAAAAAAAGAAGTCACAATACAAAAAGGGCTCACCTTATTTTTAAGAAAAGAAGAGTATCTTGACTGACAACATGTCGTGAATTAAAGGAGAACTCCAATTTGACTATCAAAGTATGCGTGCCAGGAAGTATGAGGTGTGAGGATCCAGTATTTTCTCCTTCTGTTTGTGTCTCTCTTAAATCCCTCAACGTCGTGGTTGCAGTAAAATCCTGACCTGCGGAAGTAGTCTTTGGTCTGATCCCTTTCCTGCCTTGCTCACTCGTCCATGTCCCACTTTGACGGACACTTTTATCCGCACATTTTTCAGATGCTCGCGTGATCCCGTGACAACCCCCCCCCCCCCCCCCCGCCCACGGGGGCCGGAGCCACCGAATGGCGTTATTAAAAAGACTGGCAACTGTTTTCCCCTTCCCGACTTCCAGGGATTAGCTTGCGGCGTCGTAATGTTCTCCAACAGCTGTCCCACCGTCGGGTCGTCTGCGTGAGCGCGGAAAACTCACAGAGAGTGATGGCACGTCGAGCTTCCTCCCGGGCTCCTGGGACATCCGGGGGGGGGGGGAGGGCAGACGGTCGTGTCGTTTCACTGGAAACATATGGTGAAACTCAAGTGTGTAATTTGCCTAAGACTTACGGGTGGCCCCCGAGTAACACGTACACACACACACACACACACACACACACACTCTCACACAGTGACAGGGTGTAATTTACCTGGAGCCGATGGGTGGCCCAGTGTCCCGTTGCACTTGTCATACACACAGACAACTCAAACTCAGTTCACGCTCCCTGGCTGAGACCAGAGAGGAACTAATTTCCTCAGGCCCGCAGGGAGGATCGTGAGAAATCAAACAGCGACGGAGACGTCAGAGATCAACGCGCCCGAGAGGGCCGAGAGCATTCGGCCCAGTGGAAGACTTTGCCCCCGCCCGCCCCCTCTTCCTCCCCTCCCGGAATCTCCACCTGTGGGAGTCGCGCCGCGACGCGCTGTATCGCATCCCATTCAATTCATCAACCGGGGCTCCTTTTCAAAGACGCCGCTCTTTGCCTCCCTCGGAGAGAGAGAGAGAGAGAGGGAGGGAGCCGAAGGTCACGGGAGCACCGGCGAAGGGAAGGGAAGACAGATTGGAGGAGTGTGTCCCTCCCTAACATTCCTGCACTGACCTTCACAATGGCGTGGCGCTGTGGCTATCATCGGCCCGCCATGCTTTAACGGTCTGTTTGAGGGGTGGGATTATGCCCCCCACCCATCCCCGAACCTGCATAGCCCCACCCCGTTTCCACGACAACCGCAATGGAGCGCAAAACTCGTTTGACGGACGCGCAGTCCCAGACGTTTACACTCGGCACTGTTTGAGGTGTCTGTCTGTGAAGGCTGATATGATAGCCCGTCTGCAAGTGGCTGTGTGTGTGTGCGTGTGTGTGTGTGTGTCAGTGTGTGCGTGTGCAGGAGAGTGAGAGCTGGTGTTTGATCTTCTTTCCCAGCCGAGGGGCTTTTACTTTACTCCAGGTGCAGCGAAGTCAACCTGAGGGCATGGGAGGCTGTTACGGCCCTTTTGTAGACTCCAGGACAGTAAAACAACAATCAAAGACAGGCGACAGAGTCAGGGTAACAGGTGTCTTTCTAGTTTTTATTTTTACACAAAAAGAAGGTCCCAACAAGAGGGAGGGAGATGGTGGAAGATGGGACCTACAGGTTGTGCCAAACAAATGAAATGAATATAACAAAACGAGGCCTAGCTCACCACTGGCCCTTCATTCAAAACAAGTCAAACAAAATACCTTACCTGCTTCTCTAAAAAAGGACTAAAGGAAAACGTTACACAGGAGGCAACAACCACTACACCTAGTGTGTCTATACAAAGGTATACCTACGTGCAAGAATGTACAGGGTACCCCAACTTACTAAGGTCCTCAACCTCCACCTTACCAAACTCCAGTTTTGCCAGCAGCCAGCTAAAGCTCATGTACAGGAAGACTGGCCACCAGCCCGCAGCACAACACACACACCCTTTCACGTCTCAGGAGTCTTCCTTTATGGACTGCCACCGGAACTGCTGATTGCTTTCCACCTGTGTCTGGAGTTGGCCAATCAGCGTAATCACTGGGGGAGAGAAACAAATGAGCAGGAGGGAGAACGACAAGAACACATGCAGACCGTCCCCGTCTGGCATGTAACAGAGGCACATATAGTTGCGATCACCTACCCTGAAGTACACACACACACACACACACACACACACACACTGTGAGGCAGGAAGTTTCCTTGAAGCAGTAACTCAAGACTGAGTAACTTTGTGGTTTAAACTGGTTTACCAGTCCAGTGGTGTCGCCGTGGAGCGGCTTCTGGAGACCCGGCGCCTCCAGGATGAAAACGGCCGTTGCCGCCTCCACGCGTGAGCATCAATCAGCTCCAAACACAAACACTGAGAGCGAAAGAAAAACGAAGAAGGTGAAAGGGCCGGCTGGTTGAGTGGGCAGCGTAATGACAACGCACAGACTCGGCGCTGCGGGTCAGGTCCGATCGGGCAGAGAGCAAACTGGGTGAAGAGTCAACGACGAACAACAGGCGCACAATATTGGCTACAATAATCAGCAAACTATTAACTGTATCCAATAAAAGGGGGTGGCGGTGTAGCGGCGTTAGAAGCTCTAAGCAGCATTCCTTCCATTCCATTATCGTAAGCGTAGCAGGACTCATTCCTGTGTATCTCCACATGGGAAATGTGTGTGGTCCATAATGAGCTGGGTAAACATCTGCTACTCCTGTATTAAAGAGCATTTTCTCTGCGTCTCATCCTGTAATATGGAGAAATTAGAGTGCAGGGACTCATTCGGCGTGTTTATATACACACACACACACATTTACAGAGAGCAGACATAACATACGCTCTATGACGCTCTAACATACCACCTTGACACCACAATTTTCCATCCACAAGAGTAAAACTCTACCGGGTGTCCTCGCTGTACGGCCCCCCGAATACCAGGGTTGTGTTTGCAAAGTAAAGTACGGATGCCTGATCGGAGAAGCAGGTTTACTATTTAATTGAATTCTTCTGGCAATCTGTAAACCCAGAAGCTCCTCGCATCTACAACATGCAGGTGTAAAAATACTTCTAAACAAATAACAATCTGGAAGCATTTGTTCAACTGAAATAATACATTTACATACATTTGTTTATTTAGCTTGGCAACGTTTCCCTCAAAACACGACAGAGACGTGGTTATGCAACTGCTGATGAATGCAACATTCACAGAGGAGCAGCGCCACCTAGTGTCAAGACTCCACAGCGAACAGATGGCAAACTGATCCGACAGTCGTCAACAGAAACAATCTCCTACGGCGCTCAGGGAAACAAAATGTAATTGAAAACCTTGGAGGGTTTAATGGTTTTATTATGGAAACCGCCTAATGGAGGTCACGTGTTGGGACTATGACGATGAAAAAGCATTTACAGCAGACTGACGAAACAAAAAGGCGGCGACATGACTTCTCAGACCATTTTCCACGTAGGCTTCGTCTCCGCTGATACGCTGGCGTGGCTGAAGTAACTCAACCTGGCGTTTTTTTTTTTTTTTTTACATCCATGCCAACTCCGTGTTCCTCTTTCTCCCCCACTCCTAGAAAGTCTGTTGATCCCCTTGCGGAGGATCTTTCTCACTTGCTCATCTCCTGCTGGACCTCGCGGAGGATCCGCTCCTCCAGGTTGGACGTGTCGTACTCCCTCAGCATGTCGTACTCCAGCCACGGGTGCGCCCACTTCTGGGCGTGCTCCGTCTGCTCCGGGGTCAGCGCCAGGTCGAAGCGAATGCCCTGGATGTTGAACTTGGGCCGCTCCCAGCGTTTGGACCAAGGTTTCGGACGCATCCTGACCCTGATCTGGTGAATAAACACAAAACGTTAACATGCTGCAGTTCTTTGAAATCAAACCCACTGAGGGAACATTTTTACCTAAATGACTAAAAACATTAGAAAAGTGATACATGCAGGTGCATAAAGATACAACGAATGAGCTCAGAGACGCCCCCCCTTTAATCCAGGCCTCTGTTATAAATTAGGGTGCATCTTGAAGACCTCCCACCTTGTTGACGGTCACCTCCCCGGTGGGGGAAAAGGGCACAGGCTTCATCTCCGGGTCCACGGTGCTGTACTCGCTCAGAGCGTCTCTCAGGTACACAAGGTTGTCGTCCAGCCTCTTCTCAAGCTTCAGCACGTCGATCTTCTGGATACGGGGGCTGTACATCTCGTAGCAGATCTCCACCCCTGAGCGACACAGACACGATGGAAAGCTGGTTCACTCCTTGTAAATATCGAGTCCTGTATTCTTCCTCAACCAAGTTACAAATGGCCAACACTTCCACAGGGATGTGTACATGAGCACAGAGGGGGAAAACTCAGGCAGATTTTATACTAAAACGTAATATAACATTTACATTAGTAGATTAGTAGACAGTGATGACACAGCGTGTGTGACAATTTCCAAACACAGAAAACACTCACACAGAAAATAAATAAAAGCTCACCTTGATTATCGATGATGTTCCTCAGGACAAATGTGGCCCCCAGGCCCTTCCCCCCCCTCTGGATGCAAATGCCCACGAAGCGATTGATTTTCCCGCTGGCGTTGGGGTCGGCCATGGTCACTGCCAGGATGCTCCCTTAGAACAACCAAAAGCAAGTTACACTTATTAAAAATGTGCAAACAAACTTTTGAAGCCGGTGCAGAATTTGACAAAGTTTAGGAAGATCACATAAAAAAAAGAGGATCCGAGGGGCAACTTAATGAGAGGAAACCGGAAGTTTCGTCATCTTGGAAGAGTCACGTGTGCCCGTTTTCTCACCTACGTAGAATTCGGGGATGTGAAGGACTTTCCTCCTGCGGATCATGTCCTTCCTCTCGATGGCGAATTTAAAAGGATCCGTCCTCTGTCTCGGAGGGACAAACTCCGGGCTCAGAAACCTGAGAAGCAAACGACAAAGACAGTGTAAGAACACCACGTTTTACACACACACACACACACACAGACTGACGCGGTTTCATACTTCCGCAGAGACGCCACGGTCTGTGTCTTGTCTATGATGACAGGTTTCGCTGGAGGAGAGAACTTTGGCGGCTCCTTGCCGTTGTGACCCGGAGCCGGACGACACAGCGACGTCGATACGAACCCTGGAAGACACAAGAAAACGCGACGAAGGGTGAGTCAGTCGGTCATGAAGCGGCGGTCGCTCGTCACGTTGAGCGGTGGCTATTAGCTAAAAGTGTCGCGTCGGCTAACGGGACGTTAGCTCGCAGGTGCGTTTTACGTTAAACTACGAGAACAACACGCCTTCAGAGCCCGACGTGGAACCGTGAAGTTTACCGGAGAGAAAGGAGCTTTGTCTTGTATTTGCTTACGTTCATTTTGGAGCCGCGGGTCTCGTAATAACCTTAGGGAGAACGTGCATCTGTGGAGCCCTTTCGCACAGGCTGCCATGTCTGACCTTCCGTTTTTACACGGGAAGTTGTACGGAAGCCGCGTGGGGAAATGCGCGTCTACGAAACGCGATTTCTTATGAGCTGCAGTGACTTCCATCGCCCGCAAGATGTCGCAGCCGCGTCATTTACATCATTCACCGGCTTCCATTTCAAATGCAAGTGCGATGTAGGAAGTAGGTCGTAAATAGTATACATGTATAACTAAATCCGAGCGTTATTTATGGATGATTCCAAACCAAATTTGTTAAAGTACATTTTACTTCCACTCAAAAATGTATTAGAGGTGTGGGCGATATAACACTTTAAAAACCCTCCAATACAAGAACAGGTCCTGTATCCAAAATTGTATTTCAAAGCAAAAAATATCTAACAACATAGTGCACATAAACAATTAAAAGAAAAATATGATGAGTAAAGGAGGGGGGGGGGGGGGGGGGCAAAAGGGCCCCCGTCAGGGTGTTATATAATTGGATAATGGCCTGTGTCTTGGTAGTGAAATCCGGGTCTTTGAGACCATGCAGGGGGAGCGGCGGTGCTCCAGGTGGGCTGCCTTCAGGAACACGCAGTCAGAAGCGCACTCCGGGAGCGGGCCACTGCTCGACGCGCACAGGGGGGAGGATGAGGGAGGACTAGAGAGAGACCCGGGAGCGCACATCTCCCGCACGCGACGCGCCACCTGGAGAAAGAACAACAACAACAAACAACAAAAATAAAAAATAAAAAACCAAATGTGGCTGCGGGACTTTCTGGCGCTACGGAGAAACTCGCGCGCACGTTGAGGCTTCAAGGATGTTCCTCTCAGATGGGACTCTCTCAGCCGTCACTTCTGCGCTCCTGCTGGGAATAACGTGCCTGGGCGTCCTCGGCGATCTCACCAAGGGCTCTGCAGACTTTTCAGGTTGGGGAAATTCTTTTTCTTTTGTTCACCTTCTTGTTTTGGAGACAAAAAAGCGGTCTTCTTTGCACACTTTAAAAAGCGGGTCGATGTACGAGTAAACAATTGGTACCGGAGATGAAACGCATGCACATTAAGCCATTACGCACGCTTTTTGGAAAGCTGGCCACTCTGGAATAAGTGTGCGCAGTGATTTCGGCGCAGCGAGTCTCCCAGGACGACCCGCGGCGTGCTGCAGCATGCTCACTACTATGTTTGTTTCAGAATGAACAACTTTAACACGGGAGACGGGGGGGGGGGGCTGTGCTTATCTTATGGCCAATTCTGACTCACGTTATGGGCACTGCGAACAACAGGGGGTCCCCTTTCCCGAAGCCACCTGGCCGCATACGGGATTAAAGGCTTGGTCTGTGCACACACACACACACACACATCCCATTGATGCAATGCAGATAGGTGGGGTTAATGTGTTACTATACATGATGGGAACCATCGTCGAGACGTCGAGAAGTGCACGGATTTATGGCTCAGAGAATAAAAAGCAAACTTCAGAGCAGTGCCCCCCCACACACGCCCCTGCTCTCATACAATCAGTTTGCAAGGTGAAGTCAGTGTTAGTCATATCAGTGCCTGGATCCCGCCAATTACTTCAGGTTTATGTGCAATCCGGTGTGACGGAATCCACGGGCTTTAAAAGGCAGCATATTGCAGAACTAATTGGGTTTTTTCTTTTTCTTTCTGTGTTGCATTAAAGGCCTCCGAGCTCCGTTGAACCCTGAGCCGGCCTGCGGGGGGGGGGGGTTCTGTTTACTGTGCCATAAAGCGGGAAGGCAGCGTTGTGTCGGTGTTAATTGGCCTCTAATGGGTCTAATGGTTGGCAACAAGAGGACTAACACTCTGGGGAAAAGGTGCTAAAGAGCACATGTGTGTATCATGCCGTGTGTGTGTGTGTGTGCGTGTGTCCAGTGTCTGCTCCTAATGAGCGGCAAAATATATCGCGGTCCTGCAAGTCCACTTGTCCTGGAGGTGGGCAGGAGACGCTGCTGTCATTTGCGTCACCTGCACCTGAGATCGGTTTTGTCTGCCGTCCCCAGGTTCGGTTCGTCCGTCAAGAACCGTGCGCGTAGAGAAACGCTGACCAAGCGCGGCCCCGGGTGAATGACGCCAGAAAGACGACTAAGAATACCTCAGGGACAAAGAAATCCTTCAGTCCTCACATTCTTGGCCGGCAGAGTCTCCCTGGAGACCGAGGGGAGGGTGTTTTGATTGGCAGGTGCTGCCAGGCCGATGGAAGTGGTAAATTCCCCCGTGGCTCAGGCCTCTTATTGGGGACGCCGGGTCGGACCGCTGGTGGTGGACAATCCGGTCAGGCGGGTGAACCTGAGGGTGAAGTCATCCAGCCGTTGATTTTTATTTTTTCCCCCTGTTCCCGCCTCTTTCTGCGTGTCTTTGTATTTGCACCGTTTGTTGACATCTGGAGCAATCGCACCAACCGTGCCGTCATGTCGCCGGGTGTTTGGATTCTGTGTCTCCCCCCCCCCCCTGTTATCATGTTCTATTACACAGCTGCCCCAACGGGTAATTACACGTGTGCAGCGAGCCGAGCCACACTTCGCAACCCCCGGGCCAGCGCGGCAGGGCGAGCTAGTTGTGCACAATGTTTAACACGTCATAGATTATTCGCCGTCGGTGTCGTTCGCGAAGATTTCCTGCTTTTGTTTCTTTTAAGCGAGAGCGAGTAGCATCGTCTTTTTGTGTCCGTTGGACAACAACTTAGTATTGTTGTCCGGGGGGAATTGGTGGGATGTGTTTCTCTTTTTTTTAAGGACATTAATGAATAATTGATAATAATCGCTGGTTGCAGACAGCAAATGTGTTCCTGTTCATCACTTACTGGGGATAGAATTGGTTCTCGGTGCATTGTTTGTCTCCTCAAAGCGCAGAACCTTTTTGGACGCATGTTGTTCGTTATATACGACGCTGCCGACGGGGTTACAGTGCAGCAACTTCTCTTCGGTTGAACCCCTTTAGGCAAAAAAACCCTATTTAAACCCTGTGAATGGGATGCGAGGCTGTTTAGGGGCCAAGGGGGTCAGCTGAGGTCATCCCATGGTAACTCTTGAGTGTGTGCTTAGGGGGAAGTTATCATCCGTCTTGCTCTTTGTTCCCCCTCCTGTCGAGCCTCATCACACATGTCGACCACTGTCGGGAAGGAGAGGTCATGAATTTTAGATTGAGTTCAGAAGGAGGGCTGGGAAATGTTTCCGGGATCACTTCCACCGAAAAAATGAATCACTATTTTAAGTCATTTATCGAGCGGAAATGGTTTGACTCTGATTGTCAAATGTGATGATTGGCTGTATCCTCCTGTAAGTCTGAAATCATTGCAGACTGAGTATTTAAGGTTTTTACCTGGGATGGATAGTCTTTTAACAACCGCTTGCACTTTTGTAGATGAAGTATCTTATCTGAGAGCGGGGAGAAATGGAAAAGTGGAAAAGTACCATGTCAAACAATGTGAATGGCGCGTGTCGTGTATTCTGCAAGACACAGCGCGCTGCCAGTCAGTCGGGAATGAATTCACACAAAAGCCCCCCCCCCCCCCTACCCCCACCCATGTGAAGCGGTGACGTGTGAGCCGCATCTCGCTGGTAGTTTGTTCCACCGACCCAAATAATCAACTCGACCTCCGGCAAAGAAGCTCGGGGAGCTTCATTCTCCGGACGGAGGCCGATCAGCTGATGGCTTCACTGTGGGCAAGTGACGCCTGACACTGCAACACACACACACACACACACACACACACACACCTATGCTTTTACCCCGTGTGCTATCGTCCATATCACTGGAGCGCTACCAGAGGCCCCTCACATCTTAATCCGCTCTGCTTTTCGGTAGCACACTGAAGCCCACGCTCTCCTGCCCCCCCCCCCCCCCTCCCTCCCTGCTCACACACTCCCTCCTCTCCCCCGCCGCCCCCACTCCTCCCCCCGGGGCTCGGCTGATCACTGTTTCTGTGTCTGTGCGCGCCAGGTGAGCGCTGTCTAAACAAATCCCGCCTCCCACTTGTTTTGTCTACAGTGGGGGGGGGCTGGCATAAGGCCGCCTTTCTCCGCGGCTCAATGGAGAGAAGGGGGGGGTGGGGGTGGGGGGGGGGGCTGCCGGCGTTCAAAGAGCGTTGATGTGAGTGAGTCCCGAAGGAGAGAGAAAAAGTCAAGATGTTGTGATTCGTTGCGCGATCGCTTCAAAACACCGAGTTGTTGGGCGTCAACGGATGATGGGGGCAGGGGGGGGCTTTAATTTGACGTATTGTTTGGAGACGCGCTGTGCATATAAGGCACCCATTCTTGGTCTAGACTCCTTATTCATCAGTCAAATCCACTAAGTTCGCTTTGTAGACGGGGCAAATGTTGCAGAGGGATTTTGTCAGGAGTTTCAAAATGTTTTATCAAATCTGAACCTGGTTTTAAATCCGCTTATGAAATCTAAATCCTTTCAAATCCCTCCCGAAATCCATTTAGGTGATGCTTTTTTTTTTTTTTACAATATTTCAGTAACACATAAGAGTTGAGAACCAAAACCCTGAAGGGCCGCGAGGAGCTTTCAGGTGCACGTCATGTGGATAACGTTGGCGGCACAGAGGTCGCCCTGCAGTGGCAGCGTGCGGTTGTGTAATTTGAAGCGGATGTCTGGCACGATGGCGATGAAAGGCTGTGTTAGTTCTTCCCCCTGGATACAATAAGCACATAAACAAACGCGCACACACAACAACGTGGGGTTGGTGAGGAGAGGTGGAACCGACCTTCAGCGCGAGGAAGTGACGTCACTTTACCGCGTGAGGTACGCGAGCTGCCGCTTTTTGGACTTCAACAACACCTCGCTGGAGGGGATTCAGGACAAAAGCTTTTAATACAAACGTGTTAACAGGATTCGTGTGGAAATGTGGAAACTTAGACGTGGCTTTAAAAGCGAGCTTTTGTATCGACTGAGTCAAGTCTCGGCACACATATGACACGTTAACGTGCACCAATAGAACGTCTTTGTGTCTCTGCCAAGATGTGTGTGTTGCTGACGTAATGCTTGATTCATGATTTAGTAAAGTCCCTGTGTTGGCACTACTGAAGTCTGTTTGTCATTATGAAAACAAATACCATTTTACAAGCTTCATTGCAGAATTTGATTTGAATTTGTGGACCTCTTTTCGGGCGCTTTTGCGGGCTAAACGCCTGCACCGAGACCTGCAAACGTCGGGTGAGAAGGGCCGTGAGTGCAGAGAGGGGTAAGCTTAGTCTGTACTTGCGCTGGTGGAGCGCGATGGCAGCCGCGGCGCGTGTTTGCGCGTTCGGGAGGAGGCCCCGCACGTGGGTCGTGGCGCCTGGTTGTGCAACCTGGAGATTTGCCTAAATGGTCTCGCTCGATCACGGCTGTCAAAAATAATTCCCTGCTAAAAGCTCAAATTAAGCCTCTTCGAGATGCTTCAGAAGCTTCCTCAGATTATACATTTGGCCAAACCAATCAAATTGTTTACAGGACATCCAACCTCTGCTTCTTTCAAATGGCCGTGATGCTGAGATGGAGTCTTTCAGAGGGCGCGCACACAAGCAATGCAGTCGGCCGTGAATGTGGGACGAGCTTCCCTTGTTTGTGGCCGTGCTATTGCCTTTTTCGCTGTACTATTTGTCCGTACGCCGGTTTACAAACGGAGTACAAAGCAGCCCATCTGCAGAAACGCTCGCGCCGTGTTACTGTAAGCGAAGCTTAAGAGTTTGTGTATCGGCTGTGCCCGACTGTGGTTGAGACAAGGAAGAAGAAAAGGGCTTCGTAAATCCCAGTTATGGTACCAGTCCTTTCTTTTCCTCCGGTTTCCTTTTGGTTACAGTCCCTAACGTGTCCGAGTGGTCATTTCATTTGATTTTATGACGCGTGCAATTTGTAAAGAACGGTTGCAAATAGAAAGTCAACAATTCAGCATTTTCTTTTTTTCTCTAAATTAAATAAACCCA